TGTGTGTGTGTGTGTGTGTGTGTGTGTGTGTGTGTGTGTGTGTGTGTTTTAAACCCATTACGAAGCTGTAGGGAGTATTTAAGCCCTCAGGATAGATGGTGAGACGTGTATCTCAGAATCCACATACCAATATAACATAAAGCAATTAATTTATTAAAACACGCTAGGGACATGTATAGAGTGAAATCTAAAATTCGCAGACATTTAAAAGCTGCAGTTGAGGCTAGGCACGGTGGCTCATGCCTGTAATCCCGGCACTTTGGGAGGTCAAGGCAGGCAGATCACGAAGTCAGGAGTTTGAGACCAGCCTAACCAACATGGTGAAACCCCATCTCTACTAAAAATAGAAAAATGAGCTGGGTGTGGTGGCAGGCGCCTGTAATCCCAACTACTCCGGAGGCTGAGGCAGGAGGATTGCTTGAACCCGGGAGGTGGAGGTTGCAGGGAGCCAGACCGCACCATTGCACCCCAGTCTGGGTGACAGAGCAAGACTCCGTCTCAAAAAAAAAAAAAAAAAAAAGAAAGAAAGAAAGAAAGAAAAAGAAAGTTGCAATTGACTTCAGACAAGTCTGCTGGACTTCCAGACCCCATGCCTCCCACCCTGCAACATTCACTTGACAGCTTAGACTCCTTTGGAAGGTGAAGTTGAGAGAGCACACACTGCTCCTCCTGGAACCTTGGTTTCCTCATCTCTAAAATGGCTACGGCAGCAGGGTGAAGTCGAAAAGTTGGAATCTTTTTTCTTGTTTTTTTTTGAGACGGAGTTTCGCTCTTGTTACCCAGGCTGGAGTGCAGTGGTGCGATCTCGGCTCCCCTCAACCTCCGCCTCCTGGGTTCAAGCAATTCTTCTGCCTCAGCCTCCCGAGTAGCTGGGACTACAGGTGCCCGCCACCACGCCCAGATAATTTTTGTATTTTTAGTAGAGGCGGGGTTTCACCATGTTGACCAGGATGGTCTCGATCTCTTGACCTTGTGATCCACCCGCCTCGGCCTCCCAAAGTGCTGGGATTATAGGCGTGAGCCACCGCGCCCGGCCTCTTTTTTTTTTTTTTTAATGGAGTCTTGCTTTGTCACCCAGGCTGGAGTGCAGTGGCTCACTCTTGGCTCACCGCAATCTCTACCTCCTCCTGAGGTCGAGCAATTCTCTTGCCTCAGCCTCCTGACTAGCTGGGATTACAGACGCATGGCACCACACCTGGCTAATTTTTGTGTTTTTAGTAGAGACGGGATTTCACCATGTTGGTCAAGCTGGTCTCGAGCTCCTGACCTCGTGATCCTCCCACCTATGCCACCCAAAGTGCTGGGATTACAGACATGAGCCACCGCGCCCGGCCAGGTTGGAGTCTTTAGAAAGCGTGTGCATAGGGTGTGTTAATATTATTGGTGATGGTGGCTGTTGGAAGCAGCTTTTGCAATGTATGAGCGGCAGCCTACGTCCCAGTTTGGGTGGGGAGGCCCCCCCGCAGCGCACACAGTTCGTCCCCTAAACGCACGCAGCAGGTCAACTGCAATGCAGGTTTGGGTCTAGACATCTTGGGTCTCTGTCATCTCCAGCCAGTAGCTTCATCTCTCTGCACCTCGCTTTCCCCTCCACGAAATAGGACCACGCCAGCCCAGTTGTAGGCAAGTCGGAAAATACCTGCCCGTGATTACAGCAGGGAATTGTACATACTAGTTGCTTGCTTGCCTTTTTTTTTTTTTTTAAAAGACAGAGTTTCACTCTTATTGCCCAGGATACAGTGTGATGGCGCGATCTCAGCTCACCGCAACCTCCGCCTCCCAGGTTCAAGCAATTCTCCTGCCTCCGCCTCCCAAGTAGCTGGGATTACATGCATGCACCACCACGCCCGGCTAATTTTGTATTTTTAGTAGAGATGGGGTTTCTCTGTGTTGGGCAGGCTGGTCTCAACCAGTAGAGGCGGGTGTGTATTTCGGCCTCCCGAAGTGCTGGGATGACAGGCGTGAGCCACTGCGCCCAGCCACACTAGTTTCTTTAAAAAGCAATTGGTGGATTTGGACCTGTGTGTGGAGGGCCTGGAAGATGGGTGCATGATTTAGCTCCTAGCACTTTCCAGCACAATCTGGCTCATTTGCTTAAAAAAAAAAAAAAAAAGCACTCTCTCTACAGTTAATTCACTCTTCGGCATTTCCGTAACTGTCCCAGATACAAGAGCACAACAGTGTTGACTGCCACCTAGAACACTGATGCCCACAATTTGGAAGCAGCCATGTCCACCTGTGGGGGACCGGTTTAGTAATCTTGGCACCGGCCAGAATACTGTGCAACTGAATACAACCAGCAGCTCCCAACTGGTGATGTCCCCAAGAGACAAGTTGTAGACCAGGGTCTCCCCCTTGGCACCGTGGACATTTGGGCTGGATCGCGCTCTCTGGGTTGGGGCTGTCCTGGGCACTGCAGGGTGCTGAGCAGCGTCCCTGGCCTGCACCCTCTCCATGCCAGGAGCACCCCCCAGTCGTGACAACCACAAATGTCCTTAGACGTGGCTAAGTGTCCCCTAGGGCAGAATCACCCCCGGTTGAGACCCCACTCACTGCTGTAGACCCAGTAAGGAAACTCCAGATCTCATTTCGGGTTTTAAAGGCTACACATGTATTTATAAAAATATACACAGTATCCACGGTCAGGTGTGGTGGCTCATGCCTGTAATCCCAGCACTTTGGGAGGCCGAGGCAGGTGGATCACTTGAGGTCAGGGGTTTGAAACTAGCCTGGTCAACATGGTGAAACCCTGTCTCTACGAAAAACACAAAAACTATCCGGGCATCACGGTGGGTGCCTGTAGTCTTAGCTACTCAGGAGGCTGAAACTGGAGAATCACTTGAACCCGGGGGGCGGAGGTTGCAGTGAGCCAGGATCCAGCCTGGGCGACAGAGCCAGACTCTCTCTCTTCCCCCCAACTCTTGATATACATATATATATATATATATATATATATATATATATATATATGTGTGTGTGTGTGTGTATATATATATATATATATATATATATATATATGTATCTTCATGGAAATAGACAGATATTTCCACAAGTACATCCCTTATGGAAATATACAAATACACACATGTATCCTGTATAAGAATGTGTATTTCTTGGCGGGGCACAGTGGCTCACACCTGTAATCTCTGCACTTTGGGAAGCTGAGGCCGGCAGATCACTTGAGTTAGGGAGTTCGAGAACAGCTTGACTAACAAGGAGAAACTCCGTCTCTACTAAAAAAAAAAAAAAAAAAAAAAGAAAGAAAGAAAAAAAAAAATTAGCCGGGCATGGTGGTGCGTGCCTGTAATCCCAGCTACTCGGGAGGCTGAGGCAGGAGAATCGCTTGAACCCAGGAGGCGGAGGTTGCGGTGAGCCGAGATGGCGCCATTGCACTGCAGCCTGGGTAACAAGAGCAAAACTCCGTCTCAAAAAAAACAATGTGTGAGAAAATAT